TCTTCAGTAAGTGAAAAGCAGCTCTATTGGGTTGAGATCAGGCGACTGACTTGGCCATTGAAGAATATTCCATTTCTTTGCCTTCAAAAAGTCTTGAGTTGCTTTTGCAGTATGTTTAGGGTCATTATCCACCTGCACTGTGAAGCGGCGTCCTATCAGTTTTGTAGCATTTGGCTGAATGTGAGCAGAGAGTATAGCCGTATACACCTCAGAATTCATCTTGCTACTTCTGTCAGCAGTCACATCATCAATAAACACCAGTGAGCCCATTCCATTGGCAGCCATACATGCCCATGCCATAACACTGCCTCCACCATGTTTGACACATGATGTGGTATACTTTAGATCATGAGCTGTTCCTTTCTTTCGCCATACTTTTCTCTTCCCATCATTCTGGTACAAGTTAATCTTGGTTTCATCAGTCCAAAGAATCTTGCCAACTCAATACCTGATATCAACTCCAGACCATTTATCTGCTTCATTTGTCTTGAAGTAACGAGGGAATGGACCGCACCTGGTCAATTAACTTCTTGTCTGTCAATTGTGCAAATACCTTTGAGCCCCTGAAAATGGAGGTACTTTGCTGAAAATGGCTGTAATTCCTAAATGGTAAATGCCATATTTTTGTGGAACCTCTTAAAATAAAGCTGAAAGTCTACACCTCGATCACATCTTGATTGTTTTATTTCAAATCCATTGTGGAGGTGTATAAAGGCAAAATCACAAAAACTCTGTCATTGTCTAAATACATCCAGACCTAACTGTACATTTAAAAAAAAAAAAAGGTGCTATTATTTAACATAAAAAAAAAAGTCTAATCGTTCTTATGGCGAATGATTCTATAAGGAGATGTTTACTTTAAATTTATGGAAGGAGTCTCCAGTGTCAGTGTTTTTTAGTAGTCACAGATAAAACTCTTTCTTTTTTTCCACTACAGGAAAGCTGCAACAAATTGCTTTTTTTACTGGAAGTAGAGTTAAAACATATTGTAAGTGCTAACAAGAACTAACTTGTATTGTGGCCATTCCACGAGATTAAATGTCACTATACATGGATAAAAAGTATGGTGTGTAATCTTTGACAGATTGCTGTGGTATAAGAGGAATAAAATGTCAGAATACGCTGTTATTGGAAAATAATTAACTTTGGGGTGGTAACAGTAACCAAACACATTTTGCTTTAAAATAAAGAAGAATGTATGTCATATCTTTTGTGCAAATACAGCAGTGCATTGTGTTGAGCTTAAACAATGGTAAATTTCTTCAGTGTAATGTTAAAGTAAATGGTATTTTACTTGTTAGTTTAGTCAGCCTCAACTGACTTAGATTGACCGAGATTGATGTAGATTGACCGAGATTGATGTAGCTGTGGAGTTGAAATCCTGGGAGGATTATCATGGAATTCAATCAGATTGAGACCAAGTGCATAATTTTGGGAAATTATCAAGCGGGTTCATTTATTTATTTGTTTGTTTGTTTGTTTGTTCATTTTTATTTTTGTAGAATCCAAAACAGGGGGAAAAAAGGCCTAAATAAGGAAGAACAACTAAGAAGTATAAGAGAGCAGTCTGGAAATTGGAGTGATTCAGAAATGAAGGTGCTGTTTGTTATTTGCTCAGAGGACGAAATTCTTTGTCGAATGAATGGCTCAAATATGGGATGACGTTTAATGAGCCAATCACTAGCAGGCTCTGAGAATGAAGAATTAGTAGAGAGCAGAAGCAGATGTTAAACAACCTAAATTGTTTGAAATGTGAGTTTCAATGAATTTGTTGTTAGTGGTTTGGTTATAGGTTCCATGAATGTGTCAGGACGTTCATGCAAAATAGTGTTTGAAGTAAAGTTTGAATGGCACATTGTGCACACATTACTAGTAAAATTACACCAATAATTTTGAGTTTTTTGAGTGTAAAAATACTATTAAATGCCCATTAAGTGTACCCTCCCGGGATTAGGACACTGCAAGTGAATAAAGTTGCTCAACAAACGAGACTTTTATCTATAGTCAATCTTGAAAGAGCCCTGCTCTGTGGAACCCATTCAACCCTTTGGACGAGGCAGAGAGCAAAATGTTTCACGTTCCAGACCCCATTCTCTTGGGTTTCTTGGCAGTCTATGTGGGTTTCTTTGGCAGGACTCGTAAGCTATGTTCTTTTTCTCTTCTCTGTTTTTCAGACTGCTTTGCTCTGCTGACTCATTTGCCTATTAGCTGCCATGTTAGCAGGCAGACTTGTACCTCATGTTTTGCTCTATGACATCTCAGTGGAAAGAATGCTGCCACAAACTGGGTAAATGGCATTTAGTGTCCTTCTATGACAGCAGAGGTGCCAGTGCATGCAGAAGGCTTAGTGCTAGTGCAGATCTGGTACAGCAGATTTAGTAAACAAATCATAGAAGGTGAGGCTCAGACAGAATCTTGCTTTGTTTTGTTGTTTTTTTTTGTTTTGTTTTGTTTTGTTTTTTGTTTTTTGGCATATTCAGCTTTTTTTAAGGCCTAAAATGACCCTTTGAGTTTGGCAGAGGTCATGCGTAATACAACAGTCTGCTCAGGAAGACCTTATCTGGGGAGTCTGAAAGTGAACTTGGTCAATCCGGTATTTACGAAACAATTAACCAAATCCTAACTTACAAGAAAGGGGCTTAAGGCTGAAAGGTCTAGTGGAGACTAAAACTTAGTGGCAGACAAAATAGGATATAAATATAAAAAAATTTTGAAACACAGAGGAGATTGGCACAGACATGAAACAGGGTGTTTCCAGGACAAGCTGATAGTTTCCTGTAAAGCCACATAAAGGTTGCTTAACTAAAACTGCCTTCCCTGTTGTTCTCCCACAGCTGGGGTAAACACAATGGGAGAAGTGATTGCAAAGGAAAGGACAGATTCTTACATGCCTGAACACTGCATGGGTTATTGAAAAGGTTAAAACCAAATCAGCTATTTCTGAATCTATCACTGGATATGTAACTGGGACTTATTTCCTCCTTTCAGTCACATTTTAATACTTTAAAACATAAGTCATACACTTGTGTGTCACACATGAGCATCAATTTTGGTTAAAAACAAGAATTATACAAGAAATTATTGTCCAATTCTAGCCTTATTCAGCAGCCTACCACTAAAAATACATACTGTTTGTTTTCTGAGATCAAGTGATACCATCAAAGTGAGACTGAGTAAGATTGAGTAGTACATAATATACATTTCAGTGTAGTTTTAAATATAGATTGTACAAAATACATAAAGAAATATACAGGAATTGTGGGTTAATATTTGTATCACTAGTTAGCTTTCTAGGTAGTTTTGCCTCAGATTTTTATTATGATATTTATTTTATTTCAGGGACCTAACTGAACATTATAAATATCATATATACCCCCCACCCCCCACACACACAAACACACTCACACACACACACATACCCCTAGACTGGATTTATCTCATATATGCTTCCCTGAGCAAGTACAAAAAACAATACTTCTGGTACTTCTTGTTTTCATCACGCTAATGTAAAGAAAGGTTCCAACAGTTACCAAGAAATTGATTAAGTAAGGCCTGTGTTGCAGCAGTAGCACTTATCACCTTATATGACTCAATGGGAAACCTACGTCTACTTATGTTTTGATGACAATACCATTGTGCAAGTTTGTGGTTTCTCATCTCTGCAATTAGAATTTATTCATATTTTTTGTAGATACTGATTTGTACACACACAAATTTGTATGAAGGTAATTTAACTCAAATTTCAGGTATTCAAGTGCATTGCTTTTATTAGACAAACTTGTAAAAACTGTTGTTTGCCATAGTGTGGAAATGGCCACTTACCACCTGATAGTTGGATTAAAATATACACTCTAGAAAATCACAGTGTTTTTTACAGCTTGTCATATG